CAAAAAAAAATTAATACAATGACGACGGCGCAAAAAGGCCAGAGTTCAGCTTAAATGCCGTGACCCCTAACTGCCTTTTTTCCATAGTATTAAAGTCGAAGTTCCTAAATCACGCCTTTTAAGGCTTGAGCAGATGGATGCGTACGCGTATACGTGAGTAGTGGTGCGCGTAGGTCTACGTACAGTCAAACGACGAACACTTTTGGGTGTCATTATGCAATGCATGGAGAGTTATATTAAGAGTCACGCGCCCGTCTAAGTTTTTTTTTATATATGTATTTGTTGGGCCGACGTTTGACCACTATCTCGCCTTGAGGTAAGTGATTATGAGTGATGAAGTTAAGCAAGCGTTGAGATTTTATTATACTCGATAGGAATCCTCAAATCATGCAGAATATTATAAGAACGGTCCCTCCATTTTGACAGTTGTTTTTTTTTTGTATGTTTGAAATTGCCTTAAACAGTATTTTAAACTAATCGCTTACTATCAGGCGAGATTAAAAAAATGGAATGATAACCTCCACCTTTTTGGGAAGTCGGTTGCAAATTCAATAGAAACTTATGTAGTCTATAAGTACTTACTGTATACTTCTAAGACGCTGGCGTCACTCTCTACATGCCCGACTAAAAGGAGATTATCATTCGGTTTGATGATATCATCCTCTTCGTCACTATCTGGTCCCTCTGTCTGTAAATAACAAAATAAATAATATTAATTCAATTGCCAAATAGGTTTTTGAACATGGAAACATCTCTTTTAGAGAGGGAGAGGAGACTCATATGCCCGAATACTGAAAGATTACTCAATTTTAAGTTGTACTTAAATATTGTGCCATCTCTGTCATTTTACAAAGAATTTGTAGTGACAGAACTATACTTAGCGTGACTTAAAGTTGAGTAGCGTTTTAATATTCGGGTGATAGTCCAGCCAGCTGTAGGCATGGCTTGTTGATAATAATGAATATTGAGCAACTAAAAATTTATTCTATGATCAAGAAAATTGTTATTAGTTTATTTCAAATTCTAATTAATCAGGGCCAACACATGACTATAAGATTGCCAGGTACTTTGAGTTTTAACAGAAGGTGGATAAGTAGGTATCTTATTATTATACACTATTGTGTGGCGACTTACCCTAATTTGTACTCCTTCACTTAAGTCTCCCAAATTTGGTAATGTGGCTACGGTACCAATACCAACAGGGTTTACTGGAACAAAGGAAAATTAATATTAAATTTAATTAACACCTTAGAGGTGAGCTTTATAATAATTTACATAAATATAATGGTCTTGAAATATTTAGTGAAAGTCAAGGGAAGGTTCTAAAGGTGAGAAAATTTTTTTTAGGCAGTACGAAGTTTGCCGGTCCGCCTAGTAAATTATAAGTTTCATAATTATATGTCATGATAATTTTCACAAATATATGTATGTATAAAGTTGCATTCAAAATGGTCATACCTATTTGTATTGTTCTGAAACATGTTAAAAAAATTTGATGAAAAAAAAATACTTACTATTATCTTCCTCATCATATTTTTCAAAGTTGAACTCGTCATTAGGATCTGCTGGTGGATCTCTTGGGACAGCACTTGCTTCTCCCTCGTCATCACTCTCATCTTCACCTGCTTCTGCTATCCTGTAAGAATTTATACTAGGTAAAGAATGACTGAATAGATAACATTCATACATTATAATAATTTAATTATCTAGTACCTTTTTTTATTAATTTTGACATTACATTAATGGTTTGGTAGGAAAGATGAAGGGCGTTTTGTTAGATTACTATATCTCTCTCCTACCAATTTTAAATGTTGCTGTGCCCAACAGGGTCTATAATTGTTACTATTGTATTTTCTAACCACCTGTATATGTACATTATGGATGCAATAAATACTTGATTACTTTGAAAAGGTTGAATATCATTTGTTTAGCATGAAAAAGGCGAAAGCAAGTTAAGTTAAAATAAACTTTACTACAGGTTTTCTATACAATTTATAAGTTTAACTCGTTGAGTAGGTATCGTCATTATAGACACAATTAAAGAACAATAAGTTGCGGTCACCGGTGACCGCTCGGTGTTTGACTTTGGGAGTTTAATGATGGAGCAATTAATAATCACAAAATATATTAACTAGCTGTTGCCCACAACTGTGTTCACATGAAACAGTGATCATAGGTGATAGCGTGATAATATATAGACCATATGTTGATCTGACTTGTTAGTAATATTCATGCAAGAATTTAAATTTAAAGGAAATTCATGTAGTATTTTGTAAGTTTAGCCCGGACATACATAAAGACAAACAGACAAAAATCTATAAGTCATAATATTTAATAGCTTCAGTGCCGTTTGTAGATCATGGCTCAAGCATTCTTTTCAAAACATAATTAATATATAGTTTGCACCTTCCTTCGATATTGTTATATGTATAGATGATAAATTTAATAATAAATTCCGGAAAGGATTCTCTACAGTCGACCACATACATACTTTAGAGCTCCTAATAGAGAAATATCAAGAACAGCAGAGATCTCTATATGTCGCCTTTATCGATTATCAAAAAGCATTCGACACATTATCACACTCAAGTATATGGGACGCGCTAAGAAAACATAACGTGGAGAGACAATATATCGAAGTTTTAAAAAACATCTACGAAAAATGTACTAGCAAGGTGAAATTAGAAACTTTAGGTCCACTAATAGATGTAAAAAGAGGAGTAAGGCAGGGAGACCCACTATCCCCTACACTTTTTATTTCTGTTTTGGAAACAATTTTTGGACAGCTGGATTGGAATGGCTGTGGCATATACATACAAGGGAAATACTTTAATCACCTAAGATTCGCAGACGATATAGTTATAGTGTCTGAATGCTCTAGCCAATTACAACACATGATAACTACACTGCACCTTGCAAGCATACAAGTGGGTCTTGAAATGAACTCGTCAAAAACAAAAATTATGACTAACAGTACACAAAAACCTATAAATGCCAATGACATATCTCTCGAATACGTCAAGGAATACATATACTTGGGAAAGCAGATCTCTTTCGCTAAAAACAGTAACTTATTAGAGGTAGAACGGAGAGTTAATCAGACTTGGAATAAATACTGGAGTCTTAAAGAAGTGTTCAAAAGCGACCTCCCAGTGGAACTAAAAAAGAAAGTAATGGATTCAAATCTGCTCCCATGCTTAACATATGCATGTCAAACATGGAAATATAGCACCGCTGTTAAGAACAAAATTATCTCGTGCCAAAGGGGAATGGAGCGCAGCATGTTCAATATCAAAAAACAACACAGAATCCGTCACTCAAAAATTAGAGCGAAATCCAAAGCAATTGACGCAGTTTCATATGCACTTAGTCTAAAGTGGAAATGGGCAGGTCATGTAGCAAGGTTACAAGACAATAGATGGACAAAAATAATTACAACATGGAAAGGACCAACAGGAAAAAGGAAAAGAGGAAGACCGCACACACGATGGGACGACGAAATCCTACGTGTGGCTGGAGTACGCTGGCTAGATACAGCAAAAGATCGAGAAAGATGGCAGTCTCTGGAGGAGGCCTTCACCTCAGGGGTTCCCTAAAATGAAACATGATATAAAATGATATGCTTTCTATTTTTATTTTTTGGAAATGTATATTTCTTTTAATTGGGAAATACAAGGCTTTTTTATTTTTTTATTTTTTATTTTATAGATGATAAATAAAATGTATAATAATATATAAGTCAAGTACTTATGTATTTTATGTTTATAATTTAATATCTTAATAGAGAAAGGTAGCATAATAAAGGCCAGGTAATGACTAATGTTTCACAAAATACATAGTAGTTTAACATAGGAAATAAATCGTGTTATACAAACACTACACTGGGAATGAGAACCGACAGAAAAATATTACGTATGATTTCACAACATAAAACCTGTACACATGGCTTCATAATCAGTGAAGATAGAAAGAATACATACCGCAAATCATCAGCAGTTTGTTTGATAATTTTCTCCAATTCTTTCTCCGTTAATTCAATCTGGAATAAAATATATAAACCTTAAAACCTTGCTTACGGGACCACGAAATGAGTTAAAAATTACTGATTAAAAATATTATACTTTTTCCGGCACTGCTTTCGCCACTCCGCGACGCACAAAGTGCATACATGATATTAAACTGACTGTAGGTGTAGTTTCTTCCATTATTTTTAGTTATAACTTGTAAGATTACACTCAGCACAACCCAAAACCACAGGCCACAACTTCAAAACAATGTGGTGCACATGCTCATGCACACTTTCGCGATATTGACATTGACAGATCATAAAGTTTGACACCATTGTACACCATAGACAATCAACTAAGACGACTGACTGCAAATTAAAATTCAACTTCTTACTCAAACTTCTTGATCAAGATGTCAAGATGTCAATAGAGAGCAATGAAATCTTATGTGAGAATTGAAAAAATATCGCCACTTCTCCTTTTTTATAGCTTTGAAGTCGGATGTAAGATACTTTATCTATTAGTGCTGCCCTCTATGTTTCCATCAAACGACTTCCTATTTTTATGTGGCCCGTCTGTCAAGTTGTGATTCTGCCGCTTGGTAGCGTTGTATACGCTTGAGCCCGAAAACCAAAATTCATAACGTTCTTTGAAAAATACTTGTTTGTTAATCATGCCGCGATGTTCAGCGGCAGGTTGCCGTAACATGGGGTCACATTCGTTTCCAAAAGACCCTAACTTTCGAAAAATATGGGAGACAGCTACGGGTAAAGACAAATTCATAGCTTCAAAACATTCAAGGTTATGTGCTGAACATTTTAAGCCGAGTGATTATGTTGAAGTCTGTTCAACCACAGGTAAGAACTGATACAATTTCCAAATAATATGACGTTTATTAGTTCCAAATCAGACTTGATATGTACCAACAGGAATTTAGGACAACAATCATAATGTCAATCTATTAACTTCTAGGGGCGCCACCTTACCACAGATGTTTGAAGAAAACAGCTGTTCCGTCAATTTTTCAACATAAAAGTAAAGAACTCAGAACAAAAATTAAGTGTAAAACTGAGCCTAACATTGCAAGTAAGTTAAATTTTTAATCTTGATTCTACCCTTTGTAAAGGCATCATTGATTATAATGTTGATATTGTTATTCTAACATTATTTTTAAATACGTTTTAATACTTTTCTCACAGTTCTCATATTTGTTTCTATAAACTGTTCAAACCATTATATTCGGTAATGTAATTTTAAGTGACATATCGATCATAACTATACCAACGTTTTTGAGAGATAAAGTTTAGGGTCTAAAGAAAAAAAACGTTGTATTTTTCAATACCTACGCTTCTAATACTGTTCAAGACGGATCGTTCCTTTTAATAGTGGCGTCAACTGTTAAGAACTTGTTTTCATTGTAATGTAAATAAGTCGTTATTTCTATTCAAGCTTGTTACCCTACACAGCAACTTCGTATCTATTGGATAATTGGATATTCAATAATTACTCTCGGTTTTCAGTTTTTAGTTTTTAATAACTAAGTGGTCAGAAATGTATTAAAGTTTCTTTCATGATGATACAGTGAAGATATCAAGTGAATAAAGTTCGAAGTTAAAAATGGGGACAAATAAGAAAGACTTATGGTTTGACGCTGAGGGCAAACTTTGTTTCCTGTGGTTATTATAATATAAATAAATATACAAATAATATCATGAGTAACACAGTCGAATAAAAAGGATTATTAATAATGACATGATTTTGTATTGTATTTTGACATTTCGTGGTAATGAGAGAAGAGGAAAATAAACACATGCTGATTCATGTCCTCGATCGCAGCGACCCTCGTGGCGAGCCGTGAGACTGTAATCCAGACTATCTACTACAGATTATTAAAAGATTTTTTTTTCAAATTCAAATCGTTTATTGCGAATATTGGTCAAGTTTTGATGTTACAGTAGATGATTAAAAAGCTGTTTCTGAAATTCTGAATTTTTTTTGAGATTCTGATTACCCTACTGCACAATGACCTAGTTTATAATAATATATTGCTTTTCTTCATAACAACAAAATAAATAAAATTGACTAAACGGGGTGATTTATGCGTGTGGCAATTTATTTTTCTTTATGTCATCGCTGATATGTCAATTGTCAAATAAATGTCATTGTCGTCTTTTGGGTTTATTTATTCGTGTATTGTTTGTACTCTATCAGGGAACTTATTGTACTTGTTATCTAAATAATAGTTGGTTAAACATGGTTAAATTGAATCTCAGTGCATTTGTGACATAAACAACGTTTAATCAGTTAGCGGTGTTCTTGGTGTTTAGTTATAAAATGCCGCAAAAACGTAAGTGTTATTATTATATGTGCCAAAACACGAGTGATGACGGTTTGCCAGCCTTTCGCTTTCCGGTGGATGATCCAGATCGACTGCAAAAGTGGATTTCGAATTCAGGTATGTTCCCATTCACATATTATAATAGAAACCTTGTTTATTTGCCCTAAAAATAACGTGTAAGGCGCCTGTTACACGGTATCTTTTGTTGTCAGTTTTGCCAAAAGTAAATGTTATAATTGTCGAATATACCACTGTATCTGTTGCCTGCCTCGTTGGCCGAGTGGTAACAAGTGCGACTGCCGGGCAAGAGGTTTCGGGTTCGATTCCCGGGTCGGGCAAAGTTTTACTGGGTTTTTAAAAATTCTCAGTAGTAGCACGGAGTCTGGAATTGTGCCCGGTATATGGCAATAAGCTCACCCTCTATTTCATGGAACTCATAACATAAACAGAGAAAAGTGGGTGTAACATTGTTCAGTGGCATGATGTGCACCTCTGCCTACCCCTTCGGGGATAAAAGGCGTGATGTTATGTTATGTTTGTGTGTTCACTGTTGTACATGGCATCTTCAATTCTTCTGATTTTTTCATTCATTTTTGAACCCTTTCATATTCATAACTGCTAGAGGTTTGATGGAATTATATGATGATAAATCTTTCGGCATTATTCATGATTGACAATATTGTATACCCATTTAATTCCTAGGTAAATTAAATTGTAAATAACATTCATTTTCAGGGAATGCACTCTTAAAATCGCTACCGAAGGAGACACTAAGGCACAGATACATCTGCGTAATGCATTTTCAGCATCATGATTTTAGTGAAGGGTTCGAGAGATGCAAGTTGATTGGAAAAGCAGTGCCAATGCCTTGTTGGCAGAATAATGACCCTAGTGATGATCATACATCTCTTGTTTCTAATGTGGATCTTGGTAAAAATGTTTTACACATTTTGAGTGCTTTTTTTAGATTGTCAAACACCGAGCGGTCACCGGTGACCGCAATCTATTTTTCTTTAATTGTGTCTATAATGACGGTACTCAACGAGTTAAAGCTAGATAGCTATAATTTTATGAAATAAATCAAGGTTGATTTTTTTTTCTGATAATAGGCTACAGTGATATTTGTTGTAATTATGATTGTATATTGTATGTTTTAGTTCTGTCCCTAATCTAAGTGTTCCGATACATTGTATAAGCCTTTGACTGCCGACAGAAAACTGTTGAAGGCAAATCCTCAACTAACAACAACTAACGTGACTGCACGGTTGGTGCGGTGGCTGGGCAACCGGCTGCCGTGCAATGTCCGCGGGTTCGATTCCCACACGGAACAACACTTTGTGTGATCCACAAATTGTTGTTTCGGGTCGGGGTGTTATTGTGTATGTGAACTTGTATGTTTGTAAATGCACCCACGACAGAGGAGAAAATCCTAGTGTGGGGCAACATTAAAAAAAAAAAAAAACCATAGGTCACCGGTGACCTATGTGGCAGTTAACATGATAAATAGTATGTTTTAGTTCTGTCCCTCATCTAAGTGTTCCGGTAGATTTTAAAAGTGAGACTTGTCTGTAGATATAAATTGTACCATTTGTTTGTTACTGAAAACTGACATACAAAAATAGTGGTAAGATTTTCAGCCAGTCCTATTAATCTGAAGAATCTTTTGTATAGACTGACTGTAAGCAGTCTGAATGAATCGTGTATGAAGATGAAAGTACATGCAGATCTCACATTTACAATCACACGCAGTTACTGTAAAATAATAAAATTATCTACAATTTTTATGTTAATTGTTATTTTATATTTATATGCAGTTTTATCCATTGAATAAAAGTTATAAAAAAACGCATTTGTCGTATTTATTAAATATTTCCAATATGTTATTGTATGTATAATGTATTTCCACATCTTACTTTGTGAATAAAGCAATGTTTTATTTTTTTAATGTATTCTCAGAACCGGAAATGAAGGTAAAGGAAGAAATTAAGGATATACTTGAAAACACAACACATCCAGCCCAACCACAGAATGAATCTCAAGAAGGTAATACATCATTTCGAGACAAGTCGCAGAGGTTGAGGAACAAAAAAGCTTTCTTGTGAGTGATAAAGCATAATGTTACATTTTTATAATAACTATCTTGAGACATACTAAATTAACTAAAAATCGCGGGTTATTCACGTGATATACTGAGATCTGCCTCATAAACAGCGCGTGCGGTCGCGGCAATGTCTCACAACTCACAACCTACTAGTAGAGGTTTTCTCAGTATGTGCACGTGAGTAACCCGCGATTTTTAATATAATGTTTAGTTAATAAAACATTATGTTACAGTTGAAAATTGCAAAATTTCCATATTTGATACAAGTTGTACTAATATTTAATCAATTTTCAGGGCGAAACGGTCTAAATGTACAGTACCACAGTGTAAAGGAGAAGTTTCCAGTGAAATATCCTTACATCTTTGCCCTAATAACCCAGCCGTGAGAAATGAATGGGCCGAAGCATTCAATGTTACATACTCTTATGTTAAATCTTTGATTGCGTGCAGTCAACACTTCACCAAACTGGATTTTATTCAGTCAAGTATGTTATAAATTTTTTATATTTTATATCTCAGATTTGTGTATCATAGCATTTATACCTAATGTTCAGAATTGTTTCAGAAACTTCTGAGCGTGTATTGAAACATAATGCAGTGCCCTCTCGTAATCTACCTAAAAAAGGCGCAGATATAAAACACAACTGTGTAAAAAAGTTTGTTCCTAGCCCAGTTAAAAGAAGTTGTTTTCAGAAGTAAGTATTAAAACATTAGAATACATAATAGACATATGGCTACAGTTACTGCACTTATCTCCTATGAAATGGGATCCGTAAATAGTATCATATCTAGAGAAAAGATTAGACGGATTCAAACTAAAGTGTCGTGGTATGTCGTGGCACCGTGGCCATTAGTCGACTGCAAGTGTTTAGCGACCCACGTGACACGCTACGATATGAAAGTTTGTCTCTAACCACAGTAAATGTGTGAAACCATATATCCAATGTATGAAACCGATATACTTCTGACGCGGCACGACGCATTACGACACGCTTATATCTTTCTGGCATAACATTTGCTTGATCTCAGGAGTCTGAAATATTTGTGATATTATTTAGTCTTGCAACACAAGCCTCCATACTGTTAAACCCTGTTGACATTACGCTACTGTCATCTGTCACCATTCATGACGTGACCATAGGCAATAAATAGACTTGCGAGGAATAGCAGTTCTCTTTTGTGAAGAGATGAGTGTTGGTTTTATGTTTCATCCGTATTTTAAGCAAAAAAAAATATTTTATTGAATTCATCCGTCTAAAAACGTAAGTGATTCTAGTTGAAGATTAATTAGTAACATTTGTGACGTAATTAATAAAGAATTGTGAAGAAAATTGCTAGAATAATACTTGAATGTGTGATTTTTTGTAATCTATTCCAATGGCAAAAACTATACGTCAGAGCTGTCATTAAAAATTGACAATTAGGGCTCACGCGATCTCATTACTTTGTTGTTTACATTTTTATTGTGTGAAGTGAAAACTAATTCGTGCTATGTTAGGCAGATAATGATCAATAATGCAAGCGGTAAAGATCCACCGGAGGAAAAAGAAGAGAAGGTGTTACAGGAATGTCGGGCTTGTTTGAAGAAGTTAAATGATAAACAAAGTGTTTGCAATGTATTCCAGCCGTGGGCTCTACCCTGGAAAGGAATGGAGCCTACCATTGCTGATGATTTGGCTAAATTAGCCAACATTGAGGTTAGTAAGCAAACTGTATCAATAATTAATATATCTAGAAATGGGTAAATGAGGTTATTAGGATAAAAAACGTTGTATAAAAGTTATAATTAGTGGGTATCTTTATGTTATATTATGACTAGTTACGTTACAATTTGATGACTGTCAAAATAGTTCATATAAATTTTTTTTGTGGCATAAGCTTGTAAACGAGCAGACGGATCACCTGATGGTAAGCAATAGGCGTCGCCCATTTGCTTTACGAGTCTTTTGAGGATTAGCAGTTTGAGGATTATTGAGGATTCAGGGATTGGGGAGATTGCGGAAGGGGAGGGTAATTTGGCCGCCGGTAACCTCACTCACATGACATACTTAATCACATGTGACATAAAATGAGTTTGTATACTCATTTCATTTCTATTGGATCTCTCTCATGTTGTATTAATAGGTATATTGAATTGTATTGTTGGCAAGCTGTTAAAAATCAGAAATGAATATATTCTACTTTATCACTACAGGTATCACAGACAGACAGACATACAAAAGTCTTATGTGAACCATGTTACCATAAGTTACGAGATGCAGCAATATTTGCCGCCGCAGTGAGGAACTGTGACCTGATACTCCGAATGAGGTTCACAGCAGAGATAGATATGGAGAAAGTATGGCCGAAACCCATTCAAGTGGATAAAAACTTAAACGGGTCTGTATATAGTAATCCGATGGATGTTGAAATCAAGCAGGAAGTGGTTACGGATGATGAATATCCTGTTAATGGACCAGAAAACCCATATGTTGAGACTGAACTAGCCAATCTGGATATTAAAATTGAACCTGAAGAGTTTGTGGAACCTCCACCTCTGAATATCACTATAAATGGTGAGTTTTTTTGGTTTACTAACAATATCTAGGTTTATATTAAAACTTTCGTGGGTCATACTATATTAATCATTATTTTTTCAGCTTACTCATAGTAACCGTTTGACGAGGAACTCGACTAGTTTCAAGCCATGCTAGAGGCTCATATTCATGAGCAGCATTCCAAGATCTGCAATGCGGTGACTGTCGCACTGCTACATATTATGTCTACTTGTCTAGCATGGCTTGGCTGACTAGTTGAGTTCCTCGTCAAATAGTTATGTGAGTAAGATGAAAACATAATAATTAATGTCTAGGTTGTTTTCTCAATCTAAAATAAATTGTTACCACTAAACAATTAAGACTTTATTAAGTCTGATCTCATAAATATCAGAAAACTATTCCTATTGTCATTACAAAAAGGTTAAACTGTCAAACACCAAGCGGTCAACGGTGACCGCAACCTATTGTTCTATAATTGTGTCTACAAAACCGGTACTCGACGAGTTAATATGGTTAATATTATATCTATGGTAGGTCATAATTCTGTTATTAAATGTCCACTATTTATTCACATTAAATGATGTAATTGCAATAGGCTAATAAGTATATCTGATAATATGTCGATCTTTCATTTATGACTAATGATCGAGCTCATAATATAATCGAGGAATTAAATCTGATTATTGAAACTATTTTATTATAGGTACAATATCACTAGATCCATTGAATTCTGAGAACAGAGAACTTATGAATGGACCACACACTTTAACACAGGAACCAACTGAAGTAAGTATCAATAAATCAATAGTTTACATAATAAGTTTGAATGTGGATTTCCACAAAGTAACACCAGAGGCCTTAGTGCAAGGCGCCGCCGCCCGTGGACACTCGCAACACTAGAGGATTTATAAACGCGGTGTCAGTCTTTTAGAGATTGGATATGGAGAAGGTTGGGTCTCCGGTAACCTCACACACACAATCGTAAACACGTCGTAGTATGTGTACTACGGTGAACCAAATGGAATTATTGTTTTACACCGGGTTCCTATGAGATGAAAATGTAGAAATATCAGTGGCCTATCAATAGTACGCGTTCGGAGCTCTGATTGGCCGTCTTCAGTGTACCTACCAATCAGAGCGCAAAACGCAGTCTCATTTCGATTACTTTAAAAGTAAATAAACTCGTACTAATCTCTCTGGTAATCCTATTTGGTATATAATAATTTTATTTTATTTCTGTCGTTTTTATTCCACTTTTTATATCATCATCATCAACAGCCTATAGATGTCCACTGCTGAGCATTAATCACCACGCTAGCTCAATGCGGGTTGGCGATTTCAAACTTATAATTAGAAATTATAAGCCCAGGTTTTCTCACGATGTTTTCTTGCACCGTTTGCCAGTGGTGTCTAAATAATCTTAGAAAGTACATATAACTCTGATAAAGTCACATTGGTACTTGCCGTTGGTAGGTTTTGAACTCGTACCCATGAGATGCATGAGAAGCGGGCGTCTTCAATCTTCAGGCTATGACCTTTTTTTTACATAACATACCATAATAATTTAAACCACTATTGGATTAAATTATACAATGAATGAAGTTGATTAGAAACCGGTTAAATTAGTAGCATAATGTTTATACCCCCTTTTAAATTCATTACACAATTTGTGTGACTTTTATTACCTCATTACTGCTACTGGTATTTTAGTAGTAATTTACATTAATTTAGAGAGAGATAAAGTATATTTACTAATTTATTTTCTTTCATTGACTCTGTCAGATATTGAAGGTCTATGTCCTATTGAAATGAGACTAATGACATGGTGAAATAAAAATACTATTCCCTACTAGGTGTAACATTATTGTTTGTTCTTTCCCCTTAAATAGAATGAAAGAGATACAGTTTATTATGCATACTTAAAACTATTGCTTATTTCTCATCAATAAGTCTAGTTCTTTATCTATGAAGTATTTAGAGGAACATTATAGTATACTTTTGGTGACGAAGCCAACATTATTATAAATACTACCTAAACCCGCAACTTTATCTGTGTTTTTCTAAAATATAAGTAGCCTATGTTACTCCTTAGTACATCAACTATCTGCCAATAAAAGCTCCGTCAAAATCGGTCTATCCATTTCATAGATAAGCCAGTACAAACAGACAGACGGACAAAAATTGTAAAAAGTGTTATTTTAGTATATGTACCATATGTATATTGAAATGCATGTTATTTCAATATTACAGACACTACAATTTTATTTATCTGATAATAATCTATTATTTTAATTAATGCCATTAATTGTTTACAGTTTATAGAAATGACGGTGAAACAAGAGCCCCCTAGTGAAGGGGAGCAGGAGTTGGAGCTGGCACCGGACCTGTCACTCGAGTGCATGCTTTGTGCCAAGCCATTCCACAGTGTCACTGGACTTAAGGTTAGAAACATTTTTTTTTTATGTCTCAAGGCTTGACTTTTGACCACTATCTCGCCTGATGGTAAGCGATGACAACCCTTCGATGGAGCATGAGTGCCCATAAGCAACCTATTCCATTAATTTTTTTTTTAAGGCATATGCATGCCTTATGCCTTACACCTGATGGTAAGCAATTGGCGTCGCCCATGGACACCTGGAACACCAGAGGCGTTACAAGTGCGTTCCGGCCTTTTGGGGATTAGGAGTTTGAGGATCGTTGGGAATTCAGAATTGGGGAGATTGGGGAAGGGGAGGGTAACTGGGCCTCCGGTAACCTCGCCCACACGACGAAACACAACGCAAGCGTTGTTTCACGTCGGTTTTCTGTGAGGCCGTGGTATCACTTCCGTCGAGCCGGCCCATTCGTGCCAAAGCATGGCTCTCCCACACTTTTTATTTATTTACAAGTTGTTCACATAAAAAGTGTCAATAATTTATCAAATAATATAATCGCCTTTTTTCTTTTATTTTTAAACATTTCATAAGTTCAGTTGTATCAATTTGATAGCGTCGAAGTTTAATGAGAATTATTAGATTACCTACTTACTATTGTATAAAATAGAAAATCTCATTATGTTTCAGGCGCACGTGATAGCCCATCATTCCTACAAGTCTGTGAAAAGGAAATCGGACGGCAGTGTCTCGCCCGAGAAGAAACGGTTTGATAAATACAGATGTGGCATTTGTCATACAGGTTTGTTTCATTTCATTTGAACATTATTCTGCCTCGTTGGCCGAGTGGTCGCAAGTGCCGGGCAAGGGGTCTCGGGTTCGATTCCCGGGTCGGGCAAAGTATTACTGGGTTTTAAAAAAAAATGTGCTCGGTATATGGCAATAGGCTCACGCCCTATCACATGGGACTCATAACATAAAGAGTGAAAAGTGGGTGTTTACATTGTACAGTGGCATAATTTGCACCTCTGCCTATCCCTTCGGGGATAAAAGGCGTGATGTTATATTATGTTATTATTCTCTATTCATCATCTTCGGCATCATCCATTGCAGAACAAAAAATTCCTTTTTATAAATTCCTAATTTTTATGTTTTGTTTTTTGAATTTTTTGTTTTCCATGGGATATTCCCATGCTTGGCAGGCCAGTTTGAGAATGTTAGCTGTGCATAGGAGTCGTTCTTTCCTTTCTCGACCTGGGTTAATTGGTATTGTGTATAAAATCATAGTATTTAGATTGATTTGCCCTAATAAATATCCCATGAAAAATGACCTTTCTTCGTATACCTCGCCTAAACACGCGTCCATTCATAATAATAAAATATTTCTGGAAGATTGTCTAATTATGTTATTTAACGTTCCAGGATTCTCAACCTCTACAGATCTGATGGTACATGAGACCTGCCACAATAAGTATGCATGTTACGCCTGTTCGAGGAAGTTCGACTCGTTCCCACTGCTCACTCGCCATCGCAAGCGGTGTAAAGCTACCGTCTCCAACTCTATACAGAAGCTTAAAACTTTAGAAGATGTAAAAAGGTGAGTTTGATATTTCATATTTGAGCTTTTTAGCATTCAGAAAAATGTAAATTTTTGTAATTTGACTTGCGTTTATGTTTGTAATGACTAGGAATTGAATACTCCATCATCAGTTACATTATCGCTTATCACGAGACGTGTCGATAGCCAAACGCCATCCTATTAAAAACGTCGCGGAGAACCTAACGGGTTACCGGGGCTCCGACTCGACGTGCAGGAGAAGGAACGGGGTGGTTTTTAGTCAGTAAGAGTCTGACACTCCCTCCCGCCTCAACCGGACGGTCATTCGATGATTTTCACCTGTTCAGAAAAATTAAAAAATTCCTGTTAAAAACATAAAAAACGTGGAATATAGAAAGTGTGTATTAATGTTCATAAATTCTAAACATTTCAGACCAGCAGTAGATGACATATTGAAAGACTTCGAAGATGGAGTCACGATAGATGAACTGGAAGCTGAAGTAGATCCACCATTGTCAACAGAAAACCAAGAGATCATACAAGAACAAGACAACACAATAGACAACTCACAAGATAATTCAGAAATAGGAGAAGACCAATTAACAGAAGGACAAAATGAACAGGACACAAAAGGACAATCAGAAATAACGAATGAAGATGTTGAAATGAAGGAATTGGATAGTAATACGGAAGATTCCAGTGAAGATAAACAAAAACTTAGTGTTGAAAATGAATTACAAAAACTATTTGAGTCAAGTGAAACAGAAGGTGATGTTCAAAATGAGAGTGATGCGAATGTAGACAGTAATAAGAATATCAATGAAAGTGAAAGTGATGTACAATCAGAAGTTACAAACAAAGGTGATGAAGACCCAGATAGTATGAAACTCCATTTAGAAATACACTCAGCCAATAAAGAGACTGAACCTTCAGTGAATGACATTGATACAACGGCAGAAACCATGAAAAATGATGACTGTACTTAAGTTGTTCATCACAGATTGTTGGTAAGAGTTATGGAAGTACTATGAACTAATCACATTTGACCCACCTATTGATTGTATTAAAAATATTTCAATTTGTAAATGGCAAATTCCTTTGAAGAGCGGCCTTTACATCATCAAGGTGATTGCTGATGATATCAAATTCTGTGATTTTAAATTCAGACAAATTATATGTAAACATACTAAATTAACTAAAAATCGCGTGGTCTCACGTGAATATACTGAGAAAAGCTCTACTAGTTTTGAACCACAGAGGGGTTCTTTTCACTGGGGGTCCTAGTATGGTGTGTAAGGTTGTGAAACTTCAACTTGACCTTAAAAAGGTCCTATCCTCCTACTCAAAAAAGGCTGGCAACCCACCTTAAGCTCCTTTGGTGTGGGTGTCCACTGTCCATGATTTTCATGGTAGGCGTTGATTGCTTATTTTTATTATTGCTCGGTGATCCATTTGCTCGTATGCACCTCATACAATAGATATCTCATAAGATATCTGATTTATTTCTGCCAGAATGACGTCAATGAGTTAGATTTAATAGCAATTTATTAAATTCAAGAATTTGGGTAACGGTAATATGCAGTGAATAGGGATTGAGAGGTCAGTAGGGACAAGAGGGGTGAATGGATATTATGAAGAATTTTATTCACCCCTCTTCTTTCTCTGCTCATCTCTAGGTTTTCGAATTGTTAATGTTATGGAAGATATCACGTTAGATGGCAGTGTAATCTATGTTTTTTTGTATTTCTCTTAAATCTAAACAGATTCTTTACAGATCAAAATTTTTCATACAATTTAATTTATGGTGTATAAGGTAGCATGTCCAACGAATATTTTAAGTTTTTATCGGAACAAAATTTTAACCACATTATTTGTGAGCAATTCAATGATACTTGTCATTTTATTTAAACTTTTTAATGTTGAACTATAATGAATTCATTTTTATAAGCAAGCAAGTAGAGTAATCTGGGTGAATAGAGACAAATTGACAGGCATTGATTTTATAAAGGTCTATAAAAAAAGTTAATAAATATAATTACAATTATTTACACCTACGTATTTCTAAATTTGTCACTGTAAGAGCTCATCGTTCGATTGATAAAATTGACGTGTAATAGTGATGCCTTGTTGTCTATTTGCAGAAATAAATTCACTTATTTCACTTACTCACAAATATAAATTGTATTTGCAATATTTGTCTCTTAGTTTTTATAGTACACTTGGCCTAATTTCGACTATATAACTATGAACTGATTTATTTAATAAAATAATTATATCCATGTACAATCGACAAATTGCAATTATGGTCCACTCTAAGCTTATTTTCTATTAATACAGTTAGATCGTCATTCGAATTAAATTTTGTACCTTTTGTTACCTTTGATTTCTTGTATGGCCGCTTTTTACCCGACTGCCAAAGAAGGAGGGTAATGTTTTTCGAGTGTATGTAAGTATGTATGTATGTCTTTTCCTTTGTGACCACCTGTAGCCTAAACGGCTTGATGGATTTTGATGTATGAGGTATCGTTAGATTTGTCTTGATTACGGGAGTGTCATAGGATACATTTTATCCTAAAAGTCCCACGGGATAAAGACATAATATGCCTGCCATGCCTGCGATGCATTCCATCAACATTTATAAATTATATTCAGTAAATTTGTATTCAAAATAAGTTTCTGTTTATTTAACTATCGATTACGAACACATATTGTAGTGTATTTTAATATAGGTATTGTTTAAACGGTATTACATAATTAGTTTTTAGCATTTGATTGATCAATATTATTGTGGGGCTTGTTTTACTCTTTTTTTAGTGTGCAGTCGGGTATTTTGTTTTTTTAATAATAATTTTTTTTTAGTAATTTTTAATTTTCAAAAGTTGAACAAAATTTATTACAGTAAAATGGATTAACATTTGGGAATCGTTTATGTAATTTGATATAAATGGATTATGTACAGCTGTACTAGGACTTGTTCGCTCACTATTTATAATTAAGATTGTTGTGTACGATTTCAATCTGTCGTCTGTATCTGCACTTATGTAAAATAAATAAATATACTTAGGTCTTAGTGTGAATGCATCGCTCGCTGCCACATCGCATTGAAACTGGACGCTTCATAACAGTTTATTGTTGAAGTGGGTCATAGTTAAATTTTGTCGTTTGTACATATATCAAGAAACTATAGTTTCTGTTTTACCCTGTACAGTCATTAGTAATTGTTCATTATCCTGGTCGAAAGTATATACATCTTGTCATACTTGGTTCCAATGTAAATATTTTGTGAAACTTTAAAAGTTATGTTTATTGTGATGTATGAATAATGTTTCTTGTAAAATATATTGTTGCATTTCGCAAAATATTAATTTTCGTTTCATTTTAATTATTAACTAGCTTCTGCCTGCGACTTCGTACGCGCAGTCCCGTTTTGTCCCGTTCCCGTTGATTTTTAGGATTTATTCTGTCGTAAGAACCTTCTCCTGACAATAACAAACACAACAAAAAGAAAAGATCAGCCAAATCGGTCTAGCCGTTCTCAAGTTATGGCGTGACAACGGTAAACGGGCTTTATTCTTATATTTATGGACTAAAATCGCGGGTTACTCACGTGAATATACTGAGAAAAGTTCTTAATTTCGTGCTAAGATCTTCGTGTATCACAAACCACGAGTCAGATATTAGATAAAAGCTTTTCAAAATTCAGTTAGTTGAGATGCGCATTTATAAAACAAAGCAAAATTAGTTAGCTATGGAACTCGCTGCAATAAATTCTGCATTTTCTAAATTACCTTTAAACTGTAAACTTGAAAGAATGAATAATAAAATAAAATAAATGAGGTACATAATTAAAATCGATTTAATAATAATATAATTTATGTTTCAACAGTTGTGCTCCACGAAATTAGATGCTGATATAGTCAAATTAGTGCTGTGTCCACATACAGTTACTATCACAAGACTTAGACAATACTACAATTGTTTACATAGCACATGAGTTCAATCAACGTAATAAATATTCATGTTACAGAATTTCATTTATAGACAATAAAAAATTTATACTTTGTCAGTATTTAATACTGTTTTAAGAAAATTATTGCATCGTAAGATGTCTTCACTAACTTTTTACGCTTGTCATAATTTTACATGGAACAAGTCCAGGGAACTATACTTTCAATTTCATTTGGCCCGTGAATTACTTATTCTGACCACCCGGCAGAGAAATGAAGCCAGAAAACTTAATTAAAAATACTGCAAATTAATAGAAAATAAAAAATATATAAATTTTATATTCACAGCCGTTCGCAAGACATCAAGAATATAACGTGCAATAAAATGCTTTAAATATATAAAAGAAAATGCTACATAGGTATTGGAATTTAATTCCTGTTCAACTCGTTAAGGATTCGGAGTATGTAGAGGAAGAGGTTGATGATGTCAAGATACAGGTTGATAGTGGCCAGTATGTACTCTTCTGGAGACAAGGTCGTCATCATCATCTGTGTGTCGAAGATTAGGAAGAGGCTTAACAAGATAGCACCGACGAAGGACAGGGCAATTTCGAACCCTGAGCTTTGGATGAATAGTTGTAGGATACCGCCTATGATGAGCACCATAAGACCAGCGAATAGACTGAAAAGCATAAATAATGGTTATATTTTTCATTTTCTCTGAAATATACTTTAATTGAAAGAGTACGAACGCGGCGCGAGTTTTCGTAGGAAGTTTAAAATAGGAAAGTAATAAACCAATATTAATGAAACTTAGTTTAGTAATTTTCCTAAATTGGGATTAGCAAGTTGGTATGAAAAACCGCGCTACGTCAACGCTCTTGAGTAAGAAATTCAATGAGTGAGAGGGCAAAAATACAAATTCTTTGACATACAATTAATTCTACGAACTGTTTACGGTCATTAATTGAGAATTATATGTAGAAAACTCACCCATAACCGATGAAAGAGAAGTCTGTCTTTGTGTTGAGTGTGAAGACTGTGAGGGAGAAGACCACTGCGAAGGTCAGAGTCAGGGCTTGTAGCACCACGGCCGTGTTGTAGTACGAGACCACCACGCCCACTGAGTACGCTTGTACCACCGTCTGTAAAGAAATACGTTATAGTTAGGTCATTATCAGCTGGAGCACGAACACTGCTGCACAAAGGTCTATTTCTAACTATGATGAGAGGATTACAAATGCGACCATATTGAATTATAAGTTTGTTTACATTTACTGCAAATTAAGTTATTCATATTTACAAGTTGAGCTAAAATTTTCATAATTTTTTACGGGCCTAGTTTAAATATTAAGGGGGTAAATCATCGAATGACTGCTCCCGCCTGGGTGAGGCGGGAGGGAGTGTCAGACTCTTACTGACTAGAAACCACCCCGTTCCTTCTCCTGCACTTCGAGCCGGAGCATCAGCCCTATTGGGCCCCATCCGTGGTGGTTTGATGGCGCTTTGAGGTGCGCGCGGAACGCGAGGTGCCGTAAAATACCCCCACTAATCCCAACCCAGCCCATCGCTTGGCAAGCTACTTAAGGATCGCAGATAGGTCATCAAAAGTTGAAATTATATACTGCTCCTGTCTCTTAGGGGCTGATCGGAGTATTAGGACATACTCAGATCAATATTTTTAATTTTAAGTAAAATAAACACATAACATGTTGTTGGTGCCTTTTATCCCCGAAGGGGTAGAAGTGCACATTATACCACTGTACAATGTAACAACCACTTTTCACTATTTATGTTATGAGTCCCAATAGGAGGTGAGCCTATTGCCATATATCGGGCACAATTCCAAACTCCGTGCTATTACTGAAAATTTATAAAAAACCCAGTAATACTTTGCCCGACCCGGGAATCGAACCCGAGACTCCTTGCCCGGCAGTCGCACTCGGCCAACGAGGCAGTTAAAGTAAAATTAAGTTTAAGTAAAATAAAATACTTACAAAAGCTGCTAGCAGGTAGAGGTTAGCGGGCGAGTCCCTTCTTTTAGCGATGAGTGCGAATAGCGTGACCATGCTCAATATAAACGCTATTATCACCATCCAGTCACTGAAACAAACAAGTTTATTAGTTAAAAGGTGATACATATGTTTTTGTAATTTCTGGATTGTAAAAAGGAGTCGGCTAGGA